AGATATAGATATAGATATAGATATAGATATAGATATAGATATAATATTATACCTACAAAATATCAGATGTAAATCTAGAAGGGCTGGAGAGATAGCTCAGCAGTTTAAGTGCCTGGCTGGCAAGCACAAGGACCCAAACTTGATCCCTGGTACTACATGTCACACTGCTCCTGGAACCCCGGGCACACCATGCCAGCCCAAAAATGGGGATGATAGTGTATGCCTGTAATCCCAGCATTGGAGAGGCTGAGACACAAGGATCACTAGAGTCTGAACTGTGTATTGAGACCCTATATAAAATAAATAAATATTTTTAAAACTTTAATATAAATCTGGAAGAATTTTCATCTAATACATTACTAACAACAAAAAGATAAATTTTTAGAAACTAGAAAATTGAAAAGACATTTAATTTCATGCATTCTAAGAATCCACAATTGAAAATATAAGACAGCTTCATAAACAAATGTTTACCTAAGCATTAATTATAATAGCAAAGGACAAAATACAGCTTAAATGTCCAATATTGGTGTAATATTTTCTAGTAATTTTAAACTATACATAAAGATTCTGAAGCTTGTTATGACAAAAGTAATACAGAATTGTTTACACAAAATCATCTGAACTATGTGTATTACCAAGTAAATCAAAAGGCAAGATTATTAAAAGATACTTTAACCCTCTTTAGTTTTTTTCTAGATGTTTCTGTCTTTCTTTCATGAACCTGTACCTATAATCATACAAAATATTAGGGCTCAGGCTCAGCTCAGTGGTAGAATACCTGCTGGGCAAATGTGAGGCCCTGAGTTTCATCTCTAGCACTAAAAACAAAAAATGCCACACAAGCAACACAGTCTGATAACTTTAACCAACAAACTGTCACCATCCACTCATTTTTACAGATATAAGATATGCCCTGGCTTAGGAAAATCAACTTTTTTTTTTTTTTTTTTGTGGAACCGGGAATTAAACTCAGGCCCTTGCGCTTGCCAGGGAAGCACTTACTCCACTGAGCCATCTTCCCACCCCTGGAAAATCAACTTAAAAAAAAAAAAAAAAAAATAGTGTCTCCCTGTATAGTTGAAGCTGCCCCTGAATTCACTATGTAACCCAGCTGGCCTTGAACTTTCAGTAATCCTCCTGCTTCAGCACCCTGAGAGCTGGGATCACAGGCATGTGCCACCATACCCAGCTGAAAACTCAACTTTAAATAAGATTTGCAATTTCTCGTTCATTTTCATTTACTTAAAAGATACATTTTACACAGTTTACTGATAAAACATGTGGATAATCATTTGGGATTGAAATCATGCTCCAAAAAAGTAACAGTTAAAAAAAAGGCATCAACCAAATTAAAATAACTGCTCTATTAGAGTGAGAGGCTCTTAGGAGTTGTCCTTCAGTCTCCGAATGCTCTAAAGTATTACACACATCATGCTGTCTACTGCTGCTAATCAGTGTTCAGTTCTGGGTGACAATGCTTAAACCAGGCTCCACCCGACTGGGTGACCGCTGGCTTACACGCTTAAGCCATCCAGGTCTGCACCTATGAGGCAGGTACAATACAAGTACCCACTGTCAGTGGGTGTTACGAGAACTAAACAAGAATGTGAGAAGGCAACTAGAAGAGTGCATGATATACAATATTTTAATACAGAATGAGGGTAGGATCACGGTGGAATAAGCTGCAGAAAAATAAATTTCTTGGGTGAAGAAAACAATCCTGCATAGGTTGTACAAAAAAAAAAAAAAAAAAAAAAGATATTTGGGCTGCTGAGATAGCTCCGCGGTATAAAGCACCTGCTTAGGCAAATGTGCAGGGACCGCAGTTTACAGTGTGTGTGTGTGTGTGTGTGTGTGTGCGCGCGCGTGCACGCGCACATGTCTGAGGGTAGATGCATTTTGATGATTTTGCTTATAATTTTTAGCCATCCATAGATTTAAATTTCTGTAAATTATATTGAAAAATACCTGCTTTATTATCTCAATCATTTTTAATGCCAAACTAGTTGTGCATCTCACATACACTCACTTCACAACTGTAGTTCATATGTTATTTGGAACAGGCCTTAGTAACCCCAAAAATATAATATCCTAAAACTTAAAAGTAAAGTACATTTCCATCACTTAATTATACCTTGAAGCAGATAAAGAACAAGGAGCCAGAAAAAGATGACCTTCGATGTGACTTGTAACCACCACCGGAAGAAAAAAGGGAAAAATACAACTCGAACAATCCCTTTTCTAGTCAGAGAAGTCCACGGGCTTTCAGGCTTTGCCTTAGCAAATGCAGACCCTGAGAAACAAGCAAGATAGAATGACAGGTGACTTTTACGTTTCTCTAACGCCTCTACAGAAAACAAGGACAGCATGTAACTTTATTATTTTTGTGCTAAGAGTACTTGCCTAAGCGGGCACTTTAGACTGCTGGGCTATCTCGGCAGCCCAAATATGCTTTTTTTTTCATACAACCTATGCAGGATTATTTTCCTCACCCAAGAAATTTATTTTTCTGCAGCTTATTCCACTGTGAATAAACATCCAATGTGGAGTTACTGTAGAACACATTCTCCCTGCTAGTATATTAACTCAGATACTTGGAAAAAGATGAATTAAAATGATGTAGCACTTCTCCCATATATTATATTGTCCCACAGTCTGAATAAAGAACAGTATTCAGATGTTAGTTCCAGCACAGAATTTCTATTTTCTTAACAAAGTGCTCTTCACTTTTGTAACAAAGTTCTATCTTTGCCAAGTAAACATGAATATCTTTTTTAAAAAAAATACTTATTTCTTAGAGTGATCTTCAGTGGTATTCAAATGTTCCATTCTCTCTTTTTTCTAGGCTACTTGTCCTCATTTAGGCTCCTATATACCAAATCTGTTCTGGCTTTTCTCTTCACGTTCAATGTCTACTTGTATTACAAGTTAATTTAACCAGTACTCACCTCTCACCAGATCAACGTCTATGAGGTCTGGCTTCACATGTGCTGTTTTCTTTGGTTTATTCCTTAATCCCTATAATATATTAAGAATAGTATTGGAACTTTACATATATATTCTTTTGCTCCAGAATAGCAGAAAAGAATCAACTTTTAAAGACTTCAATTTAAAATAAAATCTTTAAGTAAAACACTAGACACACTGTATATTTGTTACAAATGGGAAATTATGGCACTGTGAGGAATTTTTTACTGAGGAATTTTTTTTCAAGATAGTTCTAGGGTGTGTGTAACATGCAAAGCTGTTTATGACTAACAGTAACATTCTAATATGAAGACTATCATTCCACCAAGCAAATCTGAATATGGGCCCAAGAGTGCCGCTGCCCAAGACTAGCATCCGCAGGACAAAGAGGCGTGGGGGCTTTGGTTGTAGAAAGCACGGCTCTCAGCACTGAGGACCAGCCTGAATTCAGCTTTCTCAGCAGATGCTCGCTTGTGACCCCAGAGAAAATGATGTGCTGAGATTTTAGAGTTGTCCGAGGCCAGCACTGCCCAGTCCACAGTGTCACCTCATCACCTCAGAACTGAGAAATGCTGACTAGGAAGAGCAGACAGGCAAGGAGTTTTTGTGAACTGAATCCATTTAAACTTAGAACCACTACACATGGACTAAGATTACATTTCTTCCATCAATACAGAGGAGGAATAGGGATGGCAGCCAAAAGTGGTGGAAAAAAAACTATCAAAAAAAAATTACAAGCCAGGAGGTGCATGTCTGTAGTCCCAACATTCAGGAGGCTGAAGCAGGAGGAACATCACGAGTTTGAGGACCAGTCTGGGCTACATACGCAAGTTTGAGACCAGCCTGCCCCACATAGCAAGACTCAGTCTCAAAACAAACAAACAAATACTACAAATTACTTAAGACTAACATAAATCTGAAAAGCTTAGGCTGGATTCTTCAGAGGCTAAGATGTCACAAGGGCTTAGATGATTTTTAAATTACTCATTTAATTTAGTAAAAAACTGAGCAGTAAACCTTTTCTTTGGTCCTAATTGCAGGAAACGTGATCCCCTAAAGTTCAAATCAGATTAAGAACTGTTGGCATCTAAAAATAAGACAGGGGGTATCAATTAAAGTCAGAATTAACTGAGATGTCTTAACCAAGACTACATCCTGAAATCCAGATGATTAACCTTTGACCTCCTTCAGATACTCTACTCATCAGAATGGTTCAAATCATCCAAAGATACACAACAAAAACAGAAAGTCAGAGTTGAAAGATACGGCAATAATACTTTTATTGTAGTTGAATGTCGCACCCCCAGATTCTGAAAGAGGAAATTCACTCATGATCATTAGTACCCTTAAGCCTGTATTCTCAGTGCTTCTGTCCTCATTAGAAGAAATGAGCAGAGTAGGGGAAGAAATTCTGGGACCAAAAATCCCAGCCTTCTTGTTTTGGTTCTTATTACTATACACAATTGCTGTTCTCAGTCTATTTCAGGTTAGATTCTCATGTATTTGTATTTCTCATTGACAACTTATTGCTGAAAAGAACCCCATGCAGGACTCCAGTGTCTTGTGTTTCCCAAAGTAAGACAGCTGGCTAGACATGAGTTACAGTGCCAATTCATTGGCCATGAATTATCATTATGAAAAAAAAAAAAATATATATATATATATTTAATATCTTTACAAAGAAACATAATTTAAAAAGTTATAGATCAAGTGGCTGACACAACACAGTGACCAGAGGCTTGGAGGAACATTATTTCCCCTAGCAGCAATGGGTCAGTAGTACTAATTCAGTGCTGGTGGTGATCTTATAGAATGTATTTATGATGAATACTGAGAATCCAATGACCTCATTTCCATCTTAGTGTCACTACAGAGTAGCTGACACGCTATAAATCACTCCTAAGATTTTTTTAATTTGGAAAGGTAATTCTTTTTTTTTTTTTTTTTGTATTTTAGAGAAGGGTCTACAGGGTGTTCAGGGTCTCACTACTAGATCGGACTCATAGCAAGCCTCCTGTTACAGCCTCCCAAGAGCTGGGATTACAGGCGCGCACCACCAAGCCCAGTCTCAATCTCCTCACTGTGCCCCAGTGGCGGGGCTGGCACGGCAGGCCCAGGTATCAACACCTGGCCCCTGCACCCACTTGCAGGCACTTTAATCTGCTGAGCTATTTGGCCGGTCCTGGAAAGGTAATTCTAACCATACATGTATTCAAACAAATTTCACTACAAGAAGCATCATACTGACTTTGTGTGAAATTTATTAAAATCAAAGTTTACTTATATTATTATCAAAAACTTGAAAACTAGTATTTTCACTTGCTTCTTTTCTAATTATCAACTTGAAATAACCTCATTGTTTGTACTTTCTGATAATTTACTACAGATCTAAAATTTTCAGCAAAACTGTTTTGACCTCATTATAGATGGTAAATTGCTGTGATCTTATACAACTATGCTGTTTCTCCATCATGCAAGTTACATTTGACTTTGTAGATATGTGGCTCCTTTTCTATTTTATAACCTCTTAAAACACTTATTTTGACCTATAGAGTCACATCATAATTGACAGTTTAAATAAAACTTCCCCTTCAAGTTGTCTATCAGAATATTTGAAGAAATCTTTCACTGATAAATCAGTGTAATAAATAAAAGATAGGGGCCGGGGTGATGGCTCAGTGGAATAAGCGCTTCCCTGGCAAGCACAAGGGCCTGAGTTCAATCCCTGGTTCCGCAAATAAATAAATAAATAAATAAATAAATAAATAAAAGATACCAGCAAGATGAAATTTTTATAAAACGTAATTTTAATTAAGTTGGCAAATTTTAAATTGTTTTGGTACTGGGCCAAGGACCTGGGTACTACATGCCATGTGCATGCCTGTAATCTCAGCTCTGGGGAGGTTGAGATAGGAGGATCACTACAAGTCTGCTGCGTAGCAAGACCCTGTACCAAATATATAAATACAAGATTTTTTTAAAATATAAAAAGAAAAGACTCTATAAATTGGTTTGATATAAACTACATACATACAAAGTAGCATAGTTTTCCTTTAGTGCATTTCAATTATGAACCATAACAAAACAAGTGAACAAAAAATGAAAACTAAATTTTTGAAAAGAATGGAATTTTACCATTTTTTGAATGCACATTTAATCACTGCCACAGTGCAATGACTCAAATAGTACCAAGTTTTACATTTTTTAATAAGTCTCTAATTGCATGGACAATGCTGTGGCAAAAAATGAAGAGGGCTGCCACGTTCACAAGTACTTCTGTTCAGTGATCTAGACCTCCGTTGCTCACTGGGCATGGAGCTAGTGCGATAATAAGATTGTAACAAGGACCTAAACTTGAGTCTTGCTGGCTGGAAATCTTACTCAACTTTTTGTTTAAGTTTTAAAAAGTCTAATAAGACATAAAGATGAAAAGGAATATATTTGCCTTTTAATTGCATCTATTTATAGGTGCCATGAGACATCTGGTGCACATATAAATAAAAATATGCACTGGAATGTATCATAATACTCAAATCAGGATACATATATATCATCAAACACTTATCATTTCTTTGGAATGAAAACATCCAAAATCCTTCCCTCATTCTGGACATCCACAGCACATTCTTAGGTAAGCACAGTTCACTAAAGTACCCTGCTCCTGTCTAACTGTGTGCTGGTGCAGCCCACCGGCCTACTCCCAACAGCCTCTGGCAGACCCACTGTGCTCACCACCTCTACAAGATCACCTTTCTCTAGATCCCCATGCGTGAGACCTTGTGATGCTTTACTATCTTTCTGTGCCTGGCTTCACTGAACAAAATAATCTCTAGTTCCATCCACATAATAGATGACAGGATTTCACCCTCTTTACCACAGAATAGTGTGTCACTGTATTTTTCATACACATTTTCGTTACTCCTTCATCAGGTGATGAACACTTCAGTATTTCCAGTGCCTGTCTATTGTGCACAGGGCTGCAGTGAATACGGGAACACAGAAGTCTCTGACATACTGATTATGCCTCCTCTGGATGTCTATCCAGCAGTGGGCTTGCTGCAGCCAAAGGTAATTCTATTTATTTTTCAAGCAACCTCCATGCTGTTTTTCACAATGACTGTACAGTTTACATTTCCACCATAGTGTGCTCCCTGTTCTCTAATCCGCACCAGCCTTGTCTTCAGATTTTCTGCTAGCAACCATTCTTGCTGGACTGAAGTGCTACCTCCCTGTGGTTTTTATTTGCCCTGATTAGTGTTGTTGAACATTTTTTCACGTCTGCTCACCATTTGTATGTGTTCTTTTCAGAAAAGTCTGGCTTGGATCTATTGGCCATTGTTCTACTGGATCATTTGGGATTTTTTGCTATTGAGTTCCTTAGTTTCTGGAGTGTTAATCCTTGTCAGACACTATATAGTTTGTAAAGACAGCTACAATTCCGCCAATTGCTTTCTCTGCTGTGAAGTTTGTTACATATTTAATTTCCAATTTGGCCAAAGCACTCAGAGAATGAAGTCAAGTTTTTGTTACTAAAAAGTTTAAGGAAATGTGATTTGCAGCTTACAAAAGATTTTACTTTAGCAATATCAACTACAGGGCTTTAAAAGACAACATTCCCAAGAAAAACATTTTTATGACTTCTTTTGATTTCTTTAGGAGTTGCTCACTGCTTTGACAGTAAGCTAATTATATGTAATAAGCTCAATTCATTTGATACTGTTCTTTAAAGAAGAGCATTTTTTTTCCTACTAAATATTAACATTAATGTCACTTTCTATCTTCATTATAAATAATTTGCTTCCATAATATGTTTAGCAAGAATGGATTTTTTTTTTCTGATTTGTCAAAAAAATTGATTGTTTCAGTTTATTTTTACCTAGTTGTGTTTTTTTAATTGAGAGTCTTGCTACATGGTCTTCAACTCATGGTCCTCCTGACTCAGGACCCCAAGTATCTGGGACCATAGATATGTGCCACTGGGCCTGGCCAAACTGCCTCTTTCCATTCAAAATAACAAAAGTGAATTTTAATACTTCAATCACTTTTTCAAAGTATTATCTTTAATAGAAGATATGCTTTAGAAAACAGTTATGGGTCGTATCTTGTCCTAAGGTCATCCTATAGCACCAAGAAGCAAGTAATTGAGTCCCCCCTCTTACCGTAACCTCTGTTTGTTACTATTCTCTTAAAATCAGGGTAAATATATAAATAGTATAGCAATTTTTGATAACTGGCTTCCAAAAATCTAAAAAAAAATATTTCTGTATTTTCTAGTTTTTAAATTTCAGAAAACATCCACATATGCCATGTAGTGACAAGCCCTCACAGAGAACTCAATTGCCCTGGTGCAGTAGTTAAAAGTTGTTTCTATTACCAAAGTGAAAGGCTTCTAAGCTCTATCAGCAGGCCTCTTGGCTGCTTCTTATGCACGTGACTATTCCAACTCTCCCCTACAAAGTCTTCCAGAACCTCCACAGGGGTATCTGCCTCCGGACCGCTCCATTCAGACTTACACATGTATCTCTTAATTGAAGTTAACCCTCATTCAGAATTATGTATCCGTTCTATAAAACTTCTACTCATTTCTGAACTCACTACATAACCCTGTATTTAACACCACAACTTTGATAAATGTATTAATTCCTCATAAAATTAAAGATTAACATTGACAGATTTTTTGAGCAGATTTTAAAGTAAATAGTATAAACACAAGTTGCAGTGATGTAATATAAATGTTTCTATTTTTAAAAATTTATTATTACTTTTTTAATGTATTTGGTACAGGGTCTCACACTATGCAGCTCAGACTTGTAGTGACCCTCCTGCTTTCAGCCTCTCCAGCACTGGAATTACAGGCATGCGACACCACACCCTGTCTCGGTGGCCACTCAGCACACCTGGGGGTGGGGCCAGTATGGCATGTGGGCCTGAGATTGAACCCTGGTCCCTGCACTTGCCTAAGCAGGCACTTAGTCCACTAAGCTATCTCGCCAGCCCAATGTAAACATTTCTAATGTAAACTTTTCTATACAAAACAGAAAATGTCGAGTAACTAAAGTAATAGTCTGTTGGCCCAGATTACATTTAGCTCATGCAGGAACACACTGATTAGTATCTACGCAAATGAAAAAAACATAAATCTTATTTCCCAAAAAGTAGTAAGAAACACAAATTTAGTTTAAAAATAGTTTTCATGCTAGCAAAGTAGCCTATGAGAATTATCTTACCCCCATGATACAAATACTTTCATTAATGTTTTACTGTCCTGAAGGTTTTGGCCAGTGGCTCAGAGGCTACATCCAAGTCACTCCATTAGTAGCACCAGAAAGCAGATGTCAGTGAGAGAGAAGCACCTGCACGGACTACTCATGCGGGAGACCCTCACACTTACCAGCTTAATAAACTGCACAGAGCAATGACAGCATCAAAGGGGAGGAAAAGCAAACTAGAAGTATAAGGTGACAAGTGAAAGGGAAAAAGCTGACAAGAAAGTAACCATTAGAAACTGAATTTTAAAAGAATGGAGAAACACAAAAGAGAAAAAGGAAAACAACTAGAAGACACATGACTTGGGCATCATAAAAAATTTACCACTTTAAAAATATAGAAAAATATAAGTTTATATCTTAAAAGTAAGTCGAAAAGTATTAAATGAAAAGATTTATAATAAATTTATGGAATTACATTTCAGGATAAAATGAAATCAACTGTTACCTTGATTTCTCTTTGTTCAACAGATTTTTCCCATATTTGTTGATCATAGGCACCAATCTGTAAAAAAACAAAATACAACACTACATTAAAGGATCACTCCACTGCTCTGCTCTGAGCTACAAGCTACTCAGCATTCATCTGGCACAGATTAGATTTAGCTGTTTCTCAGACTTCTGAGCTCAATACTGTACTGCAGTGGCTCTCAAAATTCAGTTTCAAGAGCAGCAATATCAAGCAGTTTAATGAGCAGCAGTATCAAAGAGGAGCAGTACTGGGAACTTGTCAGAAATGTAAACTCAGGGCTTCACTCCACGGTTACTAAATCACAAATATCAGAGTGAGACTCAAAATTCCATCTAAAGATGAATCTGCCATTTGAAAACCACGACCCTAGGGATTCCTTTATTTTAAAACACACACACAACTACTACAGCATTGGTATATTTCATTAAAAAAAAAAATACAAGTATAAAAGGAATCCCAAGTGATAAATCCTTCATGGAGTAATCTTTTAAAGATACTAATATTCATAAACATGTGGACCACAGTTATCACTTGAAGTTTACATTAGAAAATAAGTTTGTGTAGCCTTGGGCTGGGGAGATAGCTCAGTAGAAAATAAGTTTGTGAAACACCTACAAATCCAGGGAGAGTGCAGAAATACAATCTCATTATGGTAGCACCTGGCTAGCACTCTCACTGGTACAGGATGAACAAGCCACTCCGATTAGGGTTTACATCAGAAATGGCCTCGAGAAGTTGGACGTGTTGGAGGTGGGCCTGGTCAGACAGACACCGCTGGCACGTGTGTGCTTGGCCCTGGCTCCCACTTCCCTCCCAGCTTCCTGACTGCCATGAGTTGAGCATCTTGCCTCTGCCAGGTCCTTCTACCAGTCAATAAATTACCCTCCATTAAGTTTCAGATGTGCATAGAGAGATCTCATCTAAAAAAAAAAAAAAAATCAGGTGTGTCCTTGGCACGCTGAGGCACAATCTAGCTACAGTATGGTACTCATAGAGAGCAGAATGCGATGCTGGGGAAAGGACTGGCAGGTAGATATTCCTACAACAATCCACACGATAGAATGGGTTTGGTATTGTGCATGAAAACAAAATATTGCCAAAATTATCATTGAAACATATGTGCACCCCTGTTTTTTTATTAGTGTTGGTTACCGTTTCACTAAAAGGTTTGAAATGGCTACACATTTGGAAAATAAGTTATAATTTCATTAAAACAAGTCTCTGAATTACCAAGTCAGACTAGAATTATTCCTGTGGAATCTATGCTCCTTCACTTACCTTTTCTTTTGTGTTTTGTTTTGTTTTTTTATGTATTTAGTGTAGGGTCTACAGGGTCTACACAGATCGAACTCATAGTGATCCTCCTGTTTTCAGCCTGCTTTACTAGAGAGGCACTTTCAATAAGAGGCAATAAGTGAACACCTTACAAGGTCTTCTTTTAACATACACAAGTGTCATTTCAATTACAAGTAATGAAATGCCTCTCTAACTGGAGCCATCAACTCTACACAATCCATTTCTTATGTTTTAAAAATACTATCAGAATAGACCATTGAGTTACATAAGCAAATACCATACGGAGAAAACGGGAGGTGCTATAAACCTAAATGGAGGTTCCAAAGATGTTCAGCACTCTGCACTGTCAGGCCTATGTTCTCGATAAATCACCCTCATATATGAATTTAGCCTGAATCACCTCTGAAAACAGGTTCTTTGGATGTGTGTGTAATACAGGTGGTGGTGGTGGTGGCAGAAGACTGGAGGGGACAGTCAAGCAATTCTAAAATTCCCTTTCAGCCTAAAGCCTCTCCTCATTCCAAGCAGAAATCTGGCCAGTGAGATCATAGTCCCAAGGGTTGGGGTCAAACCTTCCTGAAAGCACCAAGCCTCCTGTCTGTCTATCTTCACAGAGCAACAAAGGACAGTACACACAGTCCGAGGAAGGCCAAAACCATCTTCTCATCCTGAGATCGTGGGTCAAGAACAATTCTCAGAGTGGTGCTATCGAAATTAAAACACAGCTCCTCTTCTACCTCTGACACACAAAATAATTGACCAACTTGACCTGATAGCTGTTTCTGTTCTGCACTTCTGCTACATAGGATTAAATACCAAGGCCAAGTTCAATTATAGTGAAAAAGAAAAGAAAAAAAAAAAAAAAACCCAGTATATTCTCTTTTTTAGTACATTTGTTTATTTATGTTTTTTGAGATAGGGCATCACTATGTAGCTCAAGTTGACCTTGAACTCACTAAGTACCCCAGGCTGGCCTAAAACGTAAGGCAATCCTCCTGCCTTAGCTGATATTACAGGTGTGTGCTACCACAGCCAAGCAGTATGTTTTTAATGCATACAAAAACCAAAAATATGCTCAGTAGTAACATTTATCTAAGAGAACAATGCCTAGTCTGTATTTAGAAAAGTGCTGCCTACATTTATGGGAACCAAAAAATATATGTTCAAATAATGTTTTGTTGGTAGCCCTAGAGATACCCAATAAGAATCATTTTAAGTGGCAGTCTGTTTCTAGGAGAGAAAAAAAACACTGTTCCACATTGTAAGAGGAGACTGTGAAATCCCAATTCACATTTTACAGACAATATCTGGGCTCCTATTAAGAATATGAAATTCATTCTCTGATGCCTAGCAACAGTAAGCAATTCTATCCTGCTTTTGCTATTACTCTCAGAGATGTCTAAATACAGTCAGTCTCTGCTGTGCTCCTATCCAGCCAGAGCTGACCCATAGTCCGCTTCTGTATTCTAGAGGAACAGAACAAAATAGAATGCTCTGCCCTGAGGGCATTCATTTCCTATCTGCAGCAACAGAGCTACCACTCTTCCACTGACCTCTTACTATACTTCCCCTGGGAGAAGCAAGGATAGTTCTAAATTTTCTTCCTACAGGCTTTAATTCCTAATTTATGTGTGAACACTGCCATTGCTGGCAGAACATATAATCAACTACTTCTCTGAAAAGAATGAAGCTGTAAGATACAAGTACCATTTTCTGCCTCTTCTATCTCTAGCATCTGTTGTGTCTTGTAGCTGTTTTTCATCTTATCTTTACAAATCAACTTTAAGCCCCTATAGAGGTAGATTGCCAAAACCAAAAAAATAAGGGAACGTCACCCTGAAAGCAATAAGAATAAAATTAAAAGAGAAAAAAAAATGGAATACTAGAATTTAATGTCAAGTATATTAAAATGCAAAGACATACTTTTAGATACTTCCTAACTTACTGAAGACTGATCTAAAAAGAAAGCGAGTTCTAAATGCAAAATCAATATTGTTAATATGCCACCTAATGTAGTTTATATAAGCAGCTTTTTAGGAGACACGAACACACATTGCTTAGCTCTAACAAGTATGGGAAAGAACAGCATTTTTCCATGGTGTTTTACAGTCACTGACTGTATCATTTTTCCCCACAATGATATGTACTACTTTTATAAACCAAAATGTGAACCTAAGTATACCGGACTCCTAAGGTAATTTAAATTAGTTAAGAAACAAAATGTCTTCATAGTCCTATTGCCCAATGGTAACTCTACAGGAAAATTTACCTCTTCCTCACTTACCTCCTATTATCATTCTAATTTTGTAGCTTTCAATACAATGAGATAAAATGTAGAGGCAGAACAAGACAGGACACAGGGAGAAGGGAAAGACTGGGAAGAAAAGCGGTAAGAAAGAAGAGGACTGTTCTGTAGAGAAAAGGATTATACCTTTACTTGTTACCTGTCCATTCTAGCCCCTAAGAAAATAATCTGTAATGAATATGATGGTATCAGAAGTACACACACTAAAACCCAGATAATTAAATGATGAAATGGAAAGCAGGCACCACTTAGGAATTCTAGAAAACCAGTATCTTTGAAAAGCAATTTGAAAAGCTACTTTTCGGTGATCAGATTACCCCTTAGGTCATCACATTCAGAACAACAGTAGCTCAAGTATCAAGAGGCTACTGAGAAGGTGTCTCACTTCAATGAGGTCATTATCAATAGATTAATTAGATTGAGTGCTTAGATAAAAGATCAGGGGTTCACAAATAAACATAAGCAAGGTGAAGCAAGACCCAGATTTGCAAATGTTTTAAGCACCTAGTTTCGACTAAGGGATATACAATAGTGTAAGTCAAAGATGCAATTTTTCCAACCATTACCATGTTTAATTTTTCTGAATCTCATTTAAGAAACTAAAAAGCAAGCTTTTTATTTTCACAATTACCAGAAGTTATACAAAAAGATAACCAGAGTCTGCTCTTCATTTCACTTGACAAATACCAGAGGAAAATTATAAACTAAGGCAAATGTAATCTACTTTTGTTTGCCAGATTGTATATGGTAAAAAAATATGAATATCCCCAAGTCAAGAGGTTAAAGCATCTCTTGAAATAAGGAATAGGGGATTGGAGAGGCTGAAAGCAGAAGGATCACACAAGTCCAGGCTGCTTAGTGAGACACTGCAACAACCAAATGCATAAAAAAAAAAAAAAAAAAGGAAGTAAGCCTGTACTTCTGCACTTGGTGGCCATTTCTATCTCTAAATTGATATGAATACTATGTCTTCTGTAGCTTTTTTTGGTATATGCATTATCCATCAGCAAAAATCATGTTTTTCCATGTGATATGACTGTACCATGTTATGTTTTTGTAGTAACTTAACAGCTACTTCATCAAAGATACTTTTGTCTAAGCTATTTTTTTATAAATATAAAAGTAATCATCAGGGCCGGGGAGATGGCTCAGTAGGATAAGCGCTTGACTGGCAAACGCAAGGATCTGAGTTCAATTCCCGGTTCCGCCAAAAAAAAAAAAACAAACCAATAAAAGTAATCATCAGAAAACACCGTCTGTGATATTTAGAACGCTGAAACTTCAACCCTTGGTTTCCCAGTGCTCAGTCAGTCAGCTCTTGGTGTCTTCCAACACAGATGGAAAGCACACTGGATACACGCACAGCCTCGGACCTGAGCCCCATCTCACCTCTAAGCCTTGGAAACGGGAAGAACTGCCATGCAAAGTTTCT